TCAACATATTCTGTTACACCAAATACACAAAATAATGATCTTTAAAATAGCATCATATGACCCCTTTAAATAAAAATAATTTACATTTAAACCAGCATTAAGTCTAAACCGATTACATTTTGATTAATTTTATTATACATTTTATTAGTTTTCTTTTATTATTTAGAGGAATCTCTCCTCTATGAGCTTTTACCTTAGATTTTTTTTCTCACAATTCCAAGTATATTTCTCGCAATTCTGACTTTCCCCCCCAGAATTCTGAGTTTACACCCCAACCTCTAATTTCTGTTTCTTTTCTGCCAAGGCATAAAAAAATAAAAAAGGTAATTGTGAATTTTTATCTCACAATACTGACTTTTTAAATCACAATAATTGATTATAAACTTGTTAGTTAACTAAAAAAAAATTACTTGTGGCATTCTGCTAAATATGCACTGTTACATATTCATTATATTTATACCTAACCTGTGTTGTTGGAATATGTTTTTCTAACTATTTAAATTCTCTAGTTAAATAACAAAGTGGAGTACAAACATACGTTATGTACAATTTAAATATTTGTATACAACTCAGTTTGATTACGTTGATTATTATACCTAAATATAAATAGCAATTACATTTGTTGTTAATTTGAATATTTAATAGTAATGTATGGTTTCATGTAGCTTACAGCTTTTAGTTGAGAGATTTTCTTTCCTTAAGAAAAATTGACGTACTATATCCAAATGAATCAATATCGGAAATGAATTGAATCAAGCTTATGAATCAATCAAATTGAATGGTGAAATCTGTGTCAATACTTAAGCGAATGTATACATTTGTATTGAAACTGAATTCTGACCCCTAGTGACCTTGCCGATAGTCGTGCAAGGTATAAAAAGTAAATAAAAGTAGATGAAGGCTCATCCTGTGTGTGGATGAAATGATCACTTCAACCAAACATATTTCATCTTCATAATCTGAACCTAGATGAAATGATTTTGTAGATCTACTTCCTGTATGTTTGTGTAAATGTGACCAGCGTTTATCTCTGAGAAATAGCAGGCTGTTCCTGATGGTTCCCTTCTCAGACAGTTAATGATTGCTGCTGAAGTCGGATTAAGAGCAGCACTTGTTTGTTTAAGTTTGTTTTTCGTTCTGTGAACGAGATAAAGCCTCAAGCGTTGGCATGTGTGGGGGTGTTAGCGTAGCTCAAAGGAATGCGTAGGATGAAGTCCATTCGTCAAGTTTTTTAATGTCGCCTCTGATAACTGAGAACTTTCAGGCATGACCATTTGAATCGATTCCTGAGAGCTATGAGAGAATGGTGTATTAAAGATATTACTGCATGTGAATGCGACTATAAAATCGCTTTTACTGCAAGGTGACCTATTAAAAGATATAGGTCAAATTGTAGATATCCGTTTTAGATGAGATGTTCTGAGTTTGTCAGGCGTCTGTTCACATTCCCTTTGGTCCGAACAAACTTCAGAGCAGAAGATAATGTAAAGAGACCTGAGATATGATATCTTGAAAGAACTTTCCTTATCTATTCCCTTGAGCTTCGATTGCTGATAGGCACGATTTCCCGTTAGTCTTTCTCCACCCTGAAACTGCAGATTTGAGTTTCCTGCTGTGGTTTGAGTGTAAGGTCCACTAACAGACTGATAGTCTGTGTTTCCTGGCCTTGGGCTTCTCTAGTCTCTCACATTTTGATGTGATTCCAAGCATCCTATTAAATGACAGTTTTTTTTTTAAACTACAGTCAGTGCTGTTCTTTAAGAAAACTGCACTGTAAGATTGAAAATTGTACCCACGTTCTGGGTTCCAGAATTATTCATTTATAACATTCATTTTTGAGTGAACTATATTTGGAAATGCAACAAAATAAATGCTGTTCTGTAAGAGAATTCACACTGAATTTTATTTTCTGCAAACCATGATTGACTGTCATAAAAGACATTCACTGATTCATTACGTTAAATAATATAATATATTTAAATCTAAGCTGTCATTTATTTATTTATTTATTTTTTGTTTTTTTTTTGGCCAAATTAGATGGTGCACTGATAAGAAAAAAAGAAAATAAATTAATAAAAATAAATTAATAATAAAAACCTTTGAAACAGATTTTACTCAGAAATTGTTACATACATACATATATTATATTATATTTAAATTTTTTGCCTTTACATTTCTTTTTCTTTACAAAGATAAAATTGCCATAAATTCTTTACAAAAAGAAAACATTGCAACAGGCTGGAAATTATGCGGCTTTAATATAACTCCATGAATTTATATACACACTTTGGCTGGAAAATGATTGCATATAATGCGCAACCAAAGGGGAAAAATGCTTTCATGAGTTTTTCATTAAAATTGTAGTAGCAGTCTGTCCAAAAGTTTCATCTGTGGGGGTCCAAACAGAAATGCTTGGAATTCTGCTGCAGCCGCTTCCTCTGATCACATTTCACGTTTAATCGGATTGGTCTGTGGGAGCCGCTGTTTGGTGTCAGTGTGACTGTAGACTACCCATGATCCCTGTGTTCAGGAGTCTATTATGACAACAGTGTGGGTGGATAATGGCATGTTTTTACACTGAACTCCAGAACTCTCCCACCTGCCGCTCTGCTGAACAAGAGGGGACAAGCAAAAGCTAAACAAAGATGTTTTCCTCAGTAGGCAGGCTTCTCTGTTTTGTATCATTTACTGGTACAGGGTTCAATTCCCAAGTGAAATTCCAACCTTTCTATTCATACAGTAATTTAGTTTTGAACGCTAGGCTGCACGATTAAAGGGTTAGTTCACCCAAAAATGAAAATTCTGTCATTAATTACTCACCCTCGTGTTGTTCGAAACCCGTAAGACCTTCGCTCATCTTCGGAATACAATTTAAGATATTTTTGATGAAATCTGAGGGCTCTCTGACCCTCCCATAGACAGCAAGGTAAACGAGAATACTTTTTTTGCTTTTTTTCGAGCATGTGGATCTGGGTCAGCGCCGCCACACGCTCGCGTCATGATACTGTCGTGAACGCGCGTCCACAAGTGACGCAGTAGAGACGAAAATGTGGAATAAAGTCGTTATTTTAGTTTTCTTTGCGCAAAACGTATTCTCGTAGCTTCGTAACTTTACAGTTGAACCACTGATGTCACACGGACTACTTTGTCGATCATCTTGGTACTTTTCTGGACCTTGAACGTGGTAGTTACCTTGCTGTCTATGGGAGGGTCAGAGAGCCCTCAGATTTCATCATAAATATCTTCAATTGTGTTCCGAAGATGAGCGAAGGTCTTACGGGTTTGGAACAACACGAGGGTGAGTAATTAATGACAGAATTTTCATTTTTGGGTGAACTAACCCTTTAATCAAAATTAAATCGCAAAGGCGATAAATCGCGTTTAGGCAGAAGCTGCGATTGTCAGGCGCATCTTTCTGTGAAGCACGGTTCTGTGATCAGGAGTAAATCTCCATCCGAAGGCAAGAGGGCGCTCTCGCACTGAAACTCCAAATACGCCTCGCAAAAGAAACCTAAACAGAAGATTTAACTGATTTCATTAATTCAACGTGACTAATAAACAAACGACTATGACATTATATGGTTTATCTGAGTTCGTCTTATTATACTGTAATTTTTATTATAATTAAGTATATAATAATGCAATGCTAATCGACATAGCCTTTATCACAGCTTAGAATACTATTAAATATGTTGCGTGCCTTATTCTGTGTAAGAAGCCACATCATCTCACAGAAGGATTTATTTCAAACACTCGACTGACGTTATGAAGTGAGTTTGGAGTAAAAACATGTTATTAAATGTGGTATTTTCACATGCTTTCAGATGGAGCAGCATTTACTTCACAGAGCCGTAGTTCACTGACAAGTTACGCGATTCTGAAATCGTTCGCGATAATGACAGCTGTTTGCATAGCTTCTCAGTGAACTACGGCTCTGTGAAGTAAATGCTGCTCCATCTGAAAGCATGTGATGGAGATTTACTACTAATCACAGAACCGGCTTTACTGACAAGATGCGCATGACAATAGCATTCGATTAATCGTGCAGCCCTATTTGAACCTACTAATATTTGAAACATTGAATGAGACTGATGTAATTCTCTATCCATTTTTAACAGTAGCAAACCATTGTGAAACTATAAAAGGCATCATACCCTTACCCCTTTAATCACAGAGGATTAAATCACAGAATTTAGAGGAACATTTAGCTCTAAATAGTCAATTGCAGCATTGTATTTTATGTTCTCAGATAATACACAATAATTAAAAAATAAAATAAAACTATTTCACATATGTCTATTTACTTGTTTGGTAAGTAAGGATTACGGGGTTATTCTACATTTCTTTTTTTTATTCTCCACAAAAATAATTTTTGTCTTTTAAAAAATATATGCAAATTTTTTTTTTCTAAAAGACAGAAGGAAGTTTTCAACAAGGCTTATGTGAAATGTTCCCATAAAGACATTTAAATCACAAATCACAAATTACATTTGTGACTTTGATGCAGTGTTATTTTAGTATTATTTTTATACTGTACTGTTATATTGTTATTTTTTATAATGTATTTATTAATATTTTGAATCAGCCGTTTTATATTTTCAGTATTTATTTTCATTTTATTGTATGTTTTAGTAATTGTGTTATGTGCTTTCGTCTTTATTAGTTTTTTATATTCCTATTTAGCTTTTAGTTAGTTGCCAAAGCAACATTTTATTTATTTTTTTTAAATTTTATTTAGGATAAAGATTTTAAAGTTTAAAATATTCATCTAATATTTATATTTTATTTTATTTCAGCTTTATTTCAATAAAACAAAAAAAGTTTAGCATAAATTAATATTAAAATAATTTTCATGTGTGTTGAAAGTAAGGCTTTGAATAAGCTAAAATTAATTAAATAAGCATTAAATAAGTGATAATCCTAAAATAAATGATAATCCTTAACAAAAACAGAGTACAGCTGTCATGCAATCTAATGAGAAGGTTTGATTCTCTTTGCAGCTGGTATAAGCTGGTGGATAAGAACGGGAAACAGGAGAAGGACCGAGGGGAAGTTCTTTTGGACATTCAGTTCATGCGGAATAACCTGACAGCCAGCATGTTTGACCTCTCCATGGCAGACAAACCTCGCTCTGGCATTGGCAAACTCAAGGATAAAATTCGTGGTAAGAAGAAGGAAGGCCTGTCAGATTCTGCCTCTGCGATCGTGCCTTCTTCAGTGGGAACAGACAGTGAAGGGGAAGGAGAGGGCGGTTCAGACAATCCTAAGAAGAAATCAAAACTCAAATCCTTGTTTGGACCGAAGACAAACCTCCAAAGGAATGTGTCCCAGTCGATGTCAACGCTGGGCACCCTGCCTGAGAAGAACAGTTCACTCAGCAGCAGCAGATCATCCGGCCTTAATGTGGACTCTCCTGATGGTAAGGTGATAGGTCATCTTGTTGTAGTACAAATATACACTACAAAATTTGGAATAATTACGATTTTAAAAAATGTTTTTGAAAGAGGTCTCTTTTTTTCACCAAGGCTACATTTATTTGATAAAAAAATACAATAAAAACAGTAATATTCTGAAATATTATTACAATTTAAAACTAATGTTTTCTAGTTTATTATACTTTCAAATGTTATTTATTCCGTTGATATAAAGCTGAATTTTCAGCATCGTTACTCCAAGTCTTCAGTGTCACATGATCCTTCAGAAATCATTCTAATATGCTGAATGGCTGCTTCATATTTTTTTGGAAACCATGATAAGATTGAAAGAAAGAAAGATTGAATACTTGCATATACATATATATATATATATATATTATGTTATGTTATGTTATATTATTATAATATATATATATATATATATATATATTTATATATTTATTAGGGGT